CGGTACCTTGGACTGGGATTAGGTAGATGGAGAGGGCTAGATCTGGAAGTGGGGTTGATAGGGCATGCTAAAATAGTTTGGCTGTGCAGGGGGGACTGAGACAGGTAGGGACAGACTATGTTTTGCCTTGAGTACCTGGGTTGGAAGTTCTGTTTACTGGGATCGGGAAGCTTGGTAGAGGAAGAGTAGGCATGCAGGGAGATATCTTAAGAAGACAAACTTGCCGAAAGTGACAAAGGAAACCATAGGAGCAATACCGGGGTCTGGAGAGCAACAGGTGTTTCTCTCTTGACTCTGGGAAGCCCAGTGGACTGAAGGGTGGCAGTTGTTTAAGTTCTGGCTGGTGCTGTTTATAGGCAAGTGGCCTAAACATGTACCCAGAGACCCACACTTAGAAGGACTCTGCTGTGGGTTTGATGCTCTGCTGTCACCGTGCTGAAATGCTTAATGATTTTGGAACAAGGAGCCTTGCCTTTTCCCCTTTTCCTTTTGCTCTGATCCCTGAAAGTTGCAGCTCGTCCTGCTGGGGATAAAGCAATGACACCAACAAGTGTGGGCCATTCCATTTGGAATGATAAATTCAAACCAGAGTAAGTTCAAGCACAACAGATGCTTATGACTTCATGCACGTGAAGAACTTGGAATCGTGCCTGGGTTATAGTAAGGGTTTCCCAAGCATTAGCTAATGAGAATTATCGTAAGGACTATTTAGGCGTGTGCACAAGGAGGGTTCTTGCTTAAACCTCAGGAGGAAGGGGACAGACTAAGCTGGGCAGAGGTGAACGTTTTGGGAGCAAATGTGTAAGCCATGGGTGGAACTGAGGAGAAAATCTAAGGAGAGCTAACAGCTGCTGGCTCCCTGTAACATCCACGTCCAAGGCCTTGCATTTTTCCCCAGGAGGTTGGGCCCTGCAGATCCCAATGCATCTGGCTCCTGGGGATGTTTTGAAAGAAACCTGTGGCTGGGAATGTTGCTCCGGGCCCCTGGAGATCTGGGAAGGAAGACTGCAAGTTCCCCCTTCAAACCCCCTCCAGAAGCAGAGAGGCAGGAAGGTAGCCGGGCAGGGTGAGGTGTTGGGGGTTGGGATCTCACAAGTCTTGCAGGGCTGGGATCTCACAGCGCTGTTTCTCTCCTCTCTGAGGATATCCCTTTGTCACCTTGAAAAATGGTGTCAGGGAATTAACCCATCTTCCCCTTGTGTGCTGTGCTGGGGACTTAGCAGTGAGGTGCACATTGTCCAGTGTGAGAGACAAACGTTGTTCTGGTTGTGTAACTCAGAATAATTAACTCTCTCTCCACAACTTAGCTTCCAGTAACAGCCATTTGATTATGGCTTGTGATTTGTTTGTGGTTAGGAACTCAGACCCTTCTTGTGTGGGCAATTCTTCCTTCCCCTGTGGTATTGATTGGGGTCACACCGTGGAACTCAGTAAACAGGTGGTCAGCCTGAGAAGACTGAGATGGCCTTGATCCTATGATGGCCATCTCCATGGGGATGGCTTCAGCTGGCCAGAGCCAGCCGGCTTCTCCAGCATGGTGGCCTTTCTGGTATGGTGTTCTCAGCATGGTGGCCTTTCCCACATGGTTTCTTATATAGTGGCTCAGAGTATTTCAAGAAAGGAAGGGGAAGCTACCCGTCCTATAAGGCCAGAAATCGGCACAGGATCACCTGCTCCCACATTATTCTATCGGTCAGAGAAGTCATAGAGCCTGCCCAGATTCAGAGGGAGAGGACACAAACCCCGCCTCAGCGGGAGGCATGCCAATGAATTTGGGGCCAACCTGAATCTGCCCTAAACAATAGAGCAAAGAAGTAATATTCATTGTTGCCAGGGATATGCCCAAAGAGGTATAATTAGGCAGGGGAGCAGGGCACAGTCTGTCCCTCCACTCAGGGACCCTCCAGTCAATACTTTGGAGTGAATGAATGAAATGAGAAATGACCCTCTGTTACGAGAACCGAATCAAGTTCAACAGTTAGCCTCAATGTCGACCTTAGGGGAGAAATCTGAGATCCAATTCTCGTCCAATTCGGTTTGCAACCAGAATCGTGGCAAGAATTAAGTTCGTCACTGAGGAGCCACTGTAAATCTCTCCTCTTTGGAGTTGTGGGTGTTGGGTCCCGGTGGCAGGAAAGTGACTGCCACCCTCTCTTAGCTAAAAGTAAGTAACGTTTTCATCCAAACCTGACATTCAGCCTAACAGACCTTGGCCCTTCCTGAGAAATTCTTTGGATGTTTTCTCTTGGTCTGTAAACATGCTCTTTCCATAACATGAAATCAGCTAGTTCTAGCTGCCGAAACCATTAACAATTCAGTGACATTTAGTATGTGCATAACGTTAAGCAACAACCAGTTTTATTGAATTTAAAAATATTTTTCTGACCCCAAAATAAAACCTCGCTCCTCTTCAGCAGTTACACCTCTCTTCCCTCACCCTCCATCTCCTGCCATCCGGTAGTGTGCCTTCTGCCTCCTTGAATGTGCCTATTCTGGTTATTTCATATAGGTAGTCATATAATAGAAGGCATTTTGTGTCTGGCTCTTTCACCCAGCCCAAGTCTTTTTTGTGGTGCTGGGGATTATATCCATAGCCTCACATATGCTGGCCAAGCCTCTAACACTGAGCTACATCCCTACCATGATGTTTTAAAGGTTTCTGCATATAGAAGTATGTGCTAGTACTACATTCCTTTTCATTGCTGAGTAATATTTCACTGGATGGATGTAACGCAGTGTGTTTGTATCCATTCCTCTGTGGAAGGACATTTGGTGACTCTCACCTTTTGCCTACTGTGAGCAGTGCTGCTGGGAATATTTGCGTATTTGTATTTGTTAGAGGATCTGATTTGAGTTTTTTAGAATAATTCCTAGGAGCAAAATTTCTGGGTCATAGGGTAATGGGCCTTTAAGATTTTAAAAATGGCTTTTGTCTTATGATCTCTAGACTTCAGTGTAGTACTGTTTTTTTTTTTTTTTCGAAAGAAAAGAAAAGCAGAGCAAAGGAAAGAATCCACTCTGCTGGTCTGCAGACCACGTTGCCCTCATCTCTGCGGGTGCCGAGTCAGAGGAAGGTGGGGCCCTCATTTGTGCCTTAACCCGGGTGAAGCTTCTCTCAGGCACAACTCTGAGGGTGTGAGAAAACTAGGGACACACAAGATCACAGCGGGTCCTGGTGTCTGGACAGAGGCAGCACCAGTGATGTCAGGGTGAGGTTTAGTTGCTTTTTTTTAAAATAAATGTCTCACTAAGTTGCTCAGGCTGGTTTGACTTCAAACTTTTGATCTGCCTGCCTCAGCTTCCCGAGTGACAGGGATCACAGGCATGTACCACCACGCCCAGCTGCGGTACATTAAAGCATCATCCCATTTTGGCCTCACTGGAGGAGGAATGGTCTCTTATCCCACCAGACCGCAGTCTCCCTTCTGCACTGCATGGTGACTGAGCTTGCCCGTCAAACTCCTTGCAGTCCGACACAATGAGGTATGGAGTTGCCTTATTACGCTTTATGCCACTCCTCCCTCCCCCGCAGCAGTAGCCCTTGTCATTTGAGACTGTGGAGCTCCATAACTTAAAAAGCATTTTAATACTAAAAATTTCAGGCTGGGAAGCTGAGGCAGAAGGATCACAAGTTCAAGCCCAGCCTTGGCAACTTAGTGACTTTGTAAGACCCTTTCTAAAAATAAAAAAAAATTTTTAAAAGCCTAGGGGTATAGCTCAGTGTGAAGGTCCTAGGTTCAATCTCCAGTATTGTTACATATATATATATATATATATATATATATATATATATGGTAAAATAAACACCAGGATACTCATCCATGTTTAACAGTTTGCTATTTTTGCTTATACTTGCCACAGCTATGAATAAGTTCTTCCTTTTCTCCGAATCATTTGAAGAATGCAAACATCATGTACCTTCATTACAAATGCTGCAGTGTGCATCTCTTAAGAACATTCTGCCACATGCCTGCTATACCTTTATTATACTATAAATATAAACAATTCCCTAATCTCACACATGTAGCCAATGTTAAGACTTCCTTAGTATCTCCCAAATGTGTTGCTAACTTATTTGAAATGAGAGCCGGCCAGACTGTGGATTGAATTTGCTTTGTCTTTTTGGTTTCTAGAATGTTCCTCACCCCAACACCCCTGCCCTGTCTCATCTTTTTTCCATGGAAGTGACTTTTTGAAGGGATGAGACCGGGTATTTTGCAGAAATGCCGAGGTTCCGATTTGTCCCGTAATTTCCTTATGGTGTCGTTTAATTTGTTCTTCTATTAACTGTATTTCCTGTAACCTGGAAATTAGGTCCAGACGTTTGATTAGACTCAGGTTAAATGTTTTTGGCAAGAATCCTTGATTTTTATAAACTTCATATTGCATCGCATCAGGAGACTCACAAGGTCAGGGGCTCATTATCAGCGACACTAAATCTAATCATTTTATAAGGAAGTAATTGCCAGCTCCGTCCAATTTATGAGTGACCCAGGAGTGACACTGTGTGACAGTGTGAACAGCCCCATCCACGGGTCATCAGTTCTTAGATGGGGGACGAGAGGCAAGGTGGTGATTTCCTAAAGCTGCCACCCCTTTGATGTGAGCTAGCTGCTGTCTTTTAGCTAAGGATGGCGTCCATCGTTACCTGGCAATGACTATGGGCCACGCCAACGGGTCCTTAACTTTAATTAGGAATTGTTAGGGAGGGGAACTGGTGTCATGTTCCCCTCTAACGGGGACAAATGACTTCTTTTCCGCAGCAGTATAGACTCACAGGTTTTTACTCATTCACGGGTTACATCGATTTGAATTAGCTGCGTGACTCTGAACTGGCTGCATTACCTTTCAAACTTCATTTTCTTTACCTGCTCCACAACTGGGCGATCGACTGCTCTGCTCTCTCCCAGCGCTACAATCCTGGGAGCTGGCTGACTGCTGTGGCCGGCTCCCTTGTTTCGGCGTCCTGTGCTGGGCGGATCACACTCCTTTCTTTGCAGGTTCGTGGACTTCCACGCGGCTGCGTCCACCTGCTCGCCCTCCCGGGCTTCCCTGCTCACCGGCCGGCTGGGCCTTCGCAATGGAGTCACACGCAACTTCGCCGTCACCTCTCTGGGCGGCCTTCCGCTCAACGAAACCACCTTGGCGGAGGTGCTGCAGCAGGCCGGCTATGTGACCGGCATGATAGGTAACACGGGCCTCCCGTCACAGCGCGGACCTGGGGGGCCTCTCTGCAGAGCCTCCACTCCGCACTGCCTCTTGCGCTGCGCTTCCTTTTTTGTTCATTTCTTGCTGAATGAAGCAGGAATGCTTTATAGTGGAAAAGACCTAACAGTAGGTTAAAATGTGTGTAGAACCAGCCAGGCATGGTGGTGCACACCTGTAATCCCAGCTACTCTGAAGGCCGGAGCAGGGGGAGCTCGAGTTCAAGGCCAGCCTGGACAATATAGTAAGACTGTTGCAAAATAAAATAAAAAGGGGATTGGTAAGGGTGTAGTTCAGTGTTAGTTCGGGTAAGTGGGAGACTTGGGGTTCAATCCCCAGTACCCAAAAAAAGGAGGTCAAAAAGGGCAGAGCGATTTTCCTCCCATTAGCACAAACTGTGCCCTACGTGGTTGCTTTCATAGCGCCTGTGCTCACAAGTGCCTTTGGGAATCAGAACCTTTCTGTCCTATTACGCTGCCCTTAGGATATTGGCCATCCTCCAGCACCTCTTGCCTCCTGGCCGTGGTATAGCAGCTTTGGTGCCCTGTACTCCAGGAACTTGGAAGAAGAGAGGAGAGGTGGTTGCACTTTTATCAAGAATGAATTTGTCCTCTTTTACCAAGGAAGCAAATCTTTGCCCAGATACGCTAGCACCCCCAGAACTGCGCTTAAATCTGGGTCACAGGCCGCTGGGCTGCAGGGGAGGTAGGGAATTGGAGCCAGGATTAGAATGCGTGGTTTGGCCTGGCCTCGGGCACTCTGGTCCTCTACCCACCTCCCCCAGCAAAGCCCAGGTTCTGTTAGGAGGGTAAGTGTGGATGTGGCTGTAGGAAGGAAGCCAGCAGCGTCAGCCTTATTATCCACTGACCGCCTCTTATTTTAAATATCCAGGCCCCTCATCTTGTGTATTTATTATGTGCCAGGCCCTAGGAAATGTCTTTCTTTGCATCAGATTCTGAGGATGCCTGGGAGATTGTTATTGCCCAGGGTATAGGTGAGAGAGCGGTGTTTCGGGCCATGAAGCGACCTGCTCGGTGTCACCTGCCCTGGAGCCCAGGCAGCTGGGTGTGGAGGGTTTCTAGCCACTGCCTGGTCCTTGGGCTTTTTCTTCCCCACCATCTCCCTGCTGATGCTGAGACAACCCAGATGTCCCAGCAGCGTCCCTAAGCTGCCTGTGTTTGTTAGTCTAACTCTGAAAGAGCTGCGTCCTGTGGGATTCCTGCCTCCCTCCATCGTGATAAAATGGCAAGGGAGGGTGTGCTCGCAAATAAGTGACAGCAAGGGTCCCTGCGGCCGTGGTCCTGGTTCCTGGAGTCTCCTGTGTTAACCTGTAAGAGATCACTCTTCCCAGACCAAGGGCTGGCGCCTCTTGTGTTGGCCCAATCTCCTCCCTTGTGTTCCAGGCCTGACATCCTGCCAGATGTGGTGTTGCATGCGTGTCATCCCAGCAGTGTGGGAGGCTGAGTCAGGAAGCTCGCAAATTTGAGCCCAGCCTGCTCAACTGAGCATCTTAGCAAGAATGCGAACATCAAAAGAATAACACAAAGGGCTGGGAATGCAGCTGTGTACAAAGATCCAGGCTTTAATCCCTGGCACCAGTAAGCAAGCAAACAAACAAATAAATAAGCAAACCTGAGGTCTTTCATAGGAGCTCAAACTGGAGAGAGAGATTCATTATCCCAGAAGGGGAAGCCCCAAGTTGACAGCAGGAGGGACCAATGCACGTCCCACTGTTTTGCTTTTCCATCCCTTTCTCCCCATACCCTGAGGCATAATTATGTTAACAAAACAAACACCTAGACGCCCCTGTCTGAGGCTCCCACGGGGCGGCTGTCCCTACGAGACTCTGTACCTGCGTTCATTTCATCCTCAAAGCCGTGGGTTGAATCCCAAGCCACCCGGCTCCAGAACCTGATGCCGCCTGCCACAAGACTGGGTTCTTCCCAGCATCTCGCCTCCCTCCTCGGGCCACAGACCCCCAGTGCGAGGCTGCGTGTGGAGCTGCTGTTTCGCTGCCCCACCCCCACTCCTCCCTGCGCCTTTGCCGGTCCTATCAACACATCCCTCTGTTGAAATTAGAAACTAAGGCACATACAAAAGAAAAACTTCAAAGGAATGTCGAGTCCATGGACATCTCTCACACTTTCTTTCTTCTTTTATCTATTTGTTTATTGTTAGTAATTTTGCTTCTAATATTGGTGAATATCTGCATGTTTTTACCCAGTTGTATACACACACCCCCGACTCTGCTTTCTTCCCTCTTCCCATTATTTTGTCTTTCCATGTAATTTGGTGTATTGTTTTGGATACTTATGGTCATTGTTATCATTTTAAACAATGATTTTTAGTGTTAATGTTAGTCTTCTATTTCCATGCAGTGCTTAATCTAAGCATTCCATGATAATGCTTAATCTCTTTCCCTCAGGTTTTTGTTAAGAATATTTTAGAAATTCATGGAGCAAGAAAGGAGTCATGGAGTCTACAGAGCCTTTATGCAGATTCACTGATTGTTAATTTTCCCTGCTGCATTTGCCTTTTTTGTTTTTTTCAGTACCAGGGGTTAAATCAGGGCTTTGCACTTAGCTAAATCCCCACTCCCAGTTAAGACAGCATTTCACGGAGTTGCCCAGCCTGGCCTCCAACCTGTGACCCTCCTGCCTCAGCCTCCTGTTGAGCTGGGATTGCAGGCCTGCACCACCACACCTGACTGTGTTTGTCTTTAAATGATAGTTTGGTACGATTTGTTGAGGCCACATCAAATAATTTCCTTAGCCATCCTCCTGGGGACGCCTATGAATGTCTCTCCTTTGTGTTGTCAGATGGCGCCACTGTTTAGATCTTCGAATCCCGTTCATGTGTTTGCCCTCTTGCCTTGGGAGCGATTCCCCTGGGGTCTATTCCTCAGCACAGAACGAACCTATCAGAGGTTCTGACAGTGTCGGAGCTCTGTCAGGAGTCACCAGATTATTTCCCCAAACCGAAGGCATTTACAGAGCAAGGAGCCTCGGGCGGCTGTTTCCTCATTTGCTGCCCCGCGAATGTCTGAGCAGCGCAGCTCTGCAGGGAAGGAGGTTGCGTCTTCCCTGCCTCTGCAGCTGCCGACATTGCCCAGAAAGAAAGATGATGAGACCAAGCGGGAGCTAGGCATTTCTGAGACTGTGATGCGGGGCACCCCCACGTCCTGGGCCGGCTGCACCTCTGCAGGTTGTGCACCGGTACGTGGTGTGCTATGGCTGCTGAGCGCGCACTGAGGACAGAGGCCCCGGTGCTCCCGGTCCTGGGGACAGCCTGTGTCCCCGTTGCTGCAGCTTCCTGCATGCACCCTGAGTCATCCTGCCTGCTGTCTGTCTCCCAGCGGGCTCCGCTGGTCCCGGAGAGCGGTGCGGCTTCCTCACTGCATTGGCTGATTCTCTTTCCCGGTCCTCAGTCAAGCACGAAGCCCACAGAGACCTGAGCGTGTAATCAGCTCCTGGGAGGTTCTGAGGGTCCCCACGGGGATTCCTCCCAACTCCTCTTGTTTTGTTTTTCCACAGGCAAATGGCATCTCGGGCACCACGGCTCTTATCACCCCAACTTCCGCGGTAAGAATTCTTTTGGGGCCCTGTTACCTGGGAAACAGGAAATTAGGATCTCTGTGTAGAGGGACCCCATTGACATTTGAGCCATCCTGTCCCCAGAGAGTTTCCAGTCAGCACACCTTTGTTGACAAGGTCACCTGGGTACAACTTGGGGTGCTAGGGTGCCCCTCTCCCTGACCTCTTCCTTGCTGTCCATCCGCCCCATGGCGTCTCCACCGTGCCCCCCTCCCTGTGTCTTTATCATCTCCTAGTTCTTTACACCTCAGGGGGCATTCAGCCCCGCAAGCTCCCAACACAGCTCATCTGGAAAGAAGTAAACTCTTTGATGGGTTTGCTGAAGGACAGGCTCTCCCCATGGACCCAACAGGGGCTGCTGGCTTCTGGCCTCTTCCTGCGCTGTGGGCTTCCTCAGGCCTCTTGTCCCCTGCCTTGGAGCAGGAGGCCAGTATCAAGCTGCCAGAGCTAATTCTTTGAAAATAACTGGCTGAATGGCAGATTCCCTGCGCGTCTTGTTCACCAAAACATGCACGCGTGTTCGAAGCTGTGGATGTGCCTCTGTCTTTTCCCTCTACTTTTCCATTTCATATGGAACCTGCCTTGGGGGATTTCTCTCAGAAACAGTCTGCTATCACCTCAGCTTTCGTGGCTTTTCACCTGGCCCTGGTCCTACCAGCGCACCACCTTCTTCTCATGCCATGTATAAACAAGTAGGTGGCCCTTTCCTTTAACGTGGTCTTCTAACTATTTGCAGCTTTGTCCTTTCCCCTGCCCCACCTCTCCCTGTCCTGTGCAAAGGAGCTGAACTGCCCTGTCTCAGACCTGGCAGAAGGCATGCATCGCCATGGTCTTCCATGTGTGCTATTTATTTAATTTTCTGGAGACAGGATCTTGCTGTGTAGCTCAGCCTGGCCTCAAGCTCGAAATCTTCCTGCCTCTGCCTCCTAAGTGCTAGGGCTACAAGCATGCACAACCACATGCGCCCATAAGTGTTTTTGAAAATGGCAGATGCAGGAAGTGAAGACCTGACTTCTCCACTAACTAAAACTTGCTGCAGAATTTACTTTTCCTTCTTGGTCTTTCATTTTCACACTTGACTCGGTCTTGGTGCTGACATCTTGAGTGGTGCGCCGGGGAGGGTTACTGAGCCCGGCACGCTCAGCAGGAGGCGGTGCCTTCACAGATCCGTGGTGTCTGCCAAGGGAGTGGGAAGTGGGAAAAGTCAGCACCTCCTACATACGTGCTATTCCTGGACCAGACAGTCCCCAGAAGCCTTGTGGCATGGACATTCTTGGTTCCTACCTTTTGTTCCCTATCGCCTCTGGAACCCTGTCCATGTGTGCTGCCCTGTCCCCAGCCCTCCGGGAGCCCTTCCAAAGATCACGGCAGGCATAGTCACAGTCCTTGCATCCATCGGTCTCCTCCATCCTTGGTTGTTTCTCAGACCAGGGCTCCAAGGACCACAACTCTGGGTCTGAAGACATCTGTGGTCTAGACCAGGAGTTCATATAGATCTGTGGCCGAAGCCAGTAAGCTGTCTTATTGATTTGTTTGCCGCACTGGGGATTGAACCCAAGGCCTTCACACTGAGCTGCATTCCCAGGCCTTTTCTGATGCTTTTAATGATTGAGACAGGGTCTTGCTAAGTCACTAAGTTACCCAGGCTGGGCTTGAACTTGCAATCCTCGTACCTCAGCCTCCTAGAGCCCTGGGCTGACGGGCATGCACTACCATGTCTGTGAGCCACCTGTTTCTGTCAATAAAGTTTTATTAGAAAACAGCCCTGCTCATCAGTGTACACATGTTCTATAGGTGATTTGTGCTACAATAGCAGAATTGAAATGCCTCAGCAGAGACCATCTGGGCCATAAAACCTGAAATACTGGTCTACATTCATCTTGACACCAAATGCAGTAACAGCTCCAGGCTATGTCGTTACTTATGGGGGATGCAAATCTGTTTGTACAAACCAGGTTAGCAAGGAGCTATCCACTTTTTCCCAGTACTGGTGACTCTACCACACCATCTATTGGGTTAACAAACATCTAGTACCCCAACCCAAAGAGCGGACATTCATGGAGAAGACCCGCGTCACCAGTGCTGATCAGAAGTCCCCAGGGTATGCCAAGAATACGAAAGGCACGAGGGTGAGGGCATCAGCCTGTGGCAAGGAGCGGGACGTGTGTAGGAAACTTCACCAGAATGGGCCGAGCAGCACTGCTGCAACCCCGCCTGTAAGAGACACGGAGCTGGGATTTCCAGCCAGAGCTGCCTCTCAGAGGTGGGAGGCACCCGAGAAACTGGAGTGCACTAGGTTAGGGAGGGAAGTGTGCCAGAGCAGGTTCGAGGCGCCTGAGGGGTGGGAGGTGAGCCTGAAGAGGCGGCTGCCCTTGTTTTCAGCGCCTGGAGTTGGAGGCTGAGGGTAAATAGAATTCTTTGGGAGATTCGAGTTCGGTCCCCCTATAGGGAAAGCAGTTCCTTCTATGATCAAAGAAGGCGCCTCTTTCTGCAGAATTTGTCAGTTAATTCTGGCCGGCTCTGTGGCTGTATCCTGTGGATAAAAGCTTGTGTTGGAGAAGAGGGGGAATGTCAAGCCCAAGGTATTGGGGTATCAGTAGGCACATCCTTCCTGTCTCCCCGATACCTCACCATGCCAAGGTCAAATCCCACCCAGCTCAAATGCACATCTTCCAAGAATCATTTTGAAATCACTGCTCCACCCCCACCCCAGCCCTTGCATCTGGAGGTCGCATCTCCCTCTGATGCTCACCTGTCCGTCTCTTATGGGCTAACCGCCTTATATTATTTTCCCTTCAGATGGGGTGTCTTGAAGGCAGAATTTATTTATTTTTATCCCTTAAAATGTCATGCATGTGGTAGATTTCAACCAATGCTTACTAAATGTGTTAGATGGTCAATAATTCTTTCCATTTCCTCCCGATCTGGGTTATTTCTAATCACAAGATGTTGTTCAAGTGCTGGGCATGGTGGCACATGCCTGTAATTCCAAGCCCTCGGGAGGCTGAGGTGGGAGGATCATTGTGAGTTCGAGGCCAGCCTGGGCTACAAAGTGAGCTCAAGTCCAGCCTGAACTGCATAGTGAGACCCTGTCTCAAAAAAACCAAAAAAAAAAAAAAAAAAAAAAAAGTTGTTCAAATCTAGTCTTACAGCCAGAACCCAGAAACGTGATTTTCTTCACATACTTCAAAAGGATATTAATCAAATCTTCTTTTAATTACATACTCCAGAGCACTGCAATATTAAATCAGGAGGAATTAGATTTTTGTATGGGTGGAAGGAGGCAGGGGCGCGGAGCAGCGGCTGAGTGCTTTATTAACCAGTTGCTTCTTTTCCAGGTTTTGATTACTACTTTGGGATCCCGTATAGCCATGACATGGGCTGTACTGACACCCCGGGCTACAACCACCCTCCCTGCCCGGCGTGTCCACCAGGGGGTGGCCCGCTGAGGTAAATCTACCCAAGGCACTGTCCACGGGCTGCAGGACGGGTGTGATGCTAAGGCTGTGGTCTGTCTGGAGGAAGTGGAAGATGCAGACCGGGGACAGTAAAGCAGTGGGAAGGGCAGTGTACGCTCAGTACAACTGTAAATGAGGGCTTTGCACCCCAATGCAGAGATGAGAGCTGTACAGTTTTTTTCTGTTGGAATTTTCCAGGGTCTCTGAATTGTTCAGAGCAGATGGGGGAGGGGGCAGGTGCTGTCACGATCTCACACAGGTGGGGCCTCCTTCCTCATCTGACTCCTGGCTTTCTTCTTGGACCCGTCACTCGGCCCAGATACTGGACATAGGAGGGAGGGAGAGAGAGAGAGAGAAAGAGGGACATCACAGTGTCCTTTTGAACCCCTCCCCCAGCTGCTAGGCAAGAAAGACAGCATTCTGACATCAGAATGCCTTGCGGGCACCAAATAGGATGTTTAAAACACATATTCAGTGAAATGAGAAAATGCTCATGTAACAGTACGGGAAAAGGCAGGGAGCGAGTCATCAGGGGGCTCTTCCATGCTGTGTCCATATCTTCAGAGCGCTATCAAGAGAAACTCCCAAGAAATGTGCCAGAATGCTGACAGAGTTGCCCTCTGCTTGTGGGGCTAAGGGTTTTCATTTTCTTCTGACTGTATTTCCTGAATATCCCGCTAAGAGCTTGCAGCGGAATTATGATTAGAAAAAGAAAGTAGGGTTTATGCAGCTAAGAAACCAGCAGGATCCTATGCGTGTTTCTAAGGCCACAGGTGTGTGAGGTGTGTGTGTGGGGGAATGTGAGCTGAGTTGGCTCGTTAAGAAGTCAGTAGTTAATATAACCATGGCAGTTTATGGGGAAATCCTTCCATTCCAGGCACTCTCTGCACCCCGTGCGAAGCAGGTATGTACCTGATTTTACAAGTGGGAAAGTTTACACACCCAGGTCACACCAGAGCTGGTAAGAGATAGGAATCCAGATCCCAAGCTCCTCCACGCTTGTTTCTCAAAGTGTGGACACGGGGGCAGCACTGTGGCCATCGCTGAGGGGTCACTAGAAATGCAGAACTTCAGACCCCACTCCAGATCTGCATTTTAACAAGATGCTCGGAGGATGCGTGTGCACATTAGTGTGAGAAGAGAGGCTGCAGTCTTCTGCCTTCTTTACCCACTTTGGCCTCGAGGGTGTACCTCGCTATATCGGGGTCTGATATGTGTCAGCTTCCCAGTGTTTTGGTGGTAGGGGTTGAAAAACTAGTCTCATCTATGTTAAAAGCAAATCAAATAAAAGCCATGTGTGGTGGTGCACTCCTGGAATCCCAGCACTTGGGAGGCTGAGGCAGGAGGATCCCCATGAGTTTGAGGCCAGCCTGAACTACGTAGTGAGACCCTGTCTCAGAAAAAAAAAAATCAAAGCAAATAGAAAAAGGTTGGAGGGTGGGCAGCGTAGAGATTGTAGATGACAGAGTTGCAATCCGATAATAAAAAGGTGAAATTTCAACACAAATACAGGTTTAGTGTTCTGATGCCCAGCATGATGGTAATATTTTTTTCTTTTTTTAAAAATGTCATCCTTGGCAGTTATTTACCCCGCCTGACCTTATCTCATAAGCATCTATAACGGGATGTGTGCGCATGTAGGTGTAACAGGGAATTTGAAATTCTTCACAATCCTTTCTCAGTACTGGGAGGACAGTGTATTCTAATTGCTTTGTTCAGATATCCATGAGTTGTGATCTACAAATACGGTGGAGATTTGAAAAACTACTACAGTAAAAGACACATTCGCATGAATCCTTTCAAAATCTTCTCCTCTCTCTGGACACACCTGTTGTTCTTGCCACTTTCTGAAGAGGTTCTGGAGTGTCTTGGTTACTTTTCTCTCGTTGCTGGGACAAAATACCTGACGCCCAAAATTAAGGAAGGAAAGGTTTATTTCGCTTACAGTTTGTGGAGGTTTCAGTCCATACTTGGCAGGTTACAAGGCAGAGTGGCACATGGCAGAGGGCAACAGCTCATGGCAGCAGAACACAGCCGAATCAACAAGCACACACACGGGAGGAAATGGCCCCAAGCAGCCTCTTCCTCTCCCTTACATATGCAAACTATCCACCCCAGGGCGGGTGTAGCTCTCACACCCATAATCAATCAAACTCTAAAAGCCTGCCCCATGGCTGCATGAGGCTTTGGGGGGACACCCAGACACAAACCATAGCATGGAGGTTCTTTTTCACCTCTTTAGTTGCACTTTTGTGGCTGCCTCAATATGCTGAAGTGATTCAAAATGTTTCGTGGTCCTTTTGACATTGGGCAAGAGCCACCAGTTGCATGGTGGCAGAGGCAGTGAATAAAGTGGGCGAGGACAACCAGAAGGTTTTCACGAGCCTACCTTTCCGTTGGGTGGCGCTCAGGAGGAGTGTTCACTGTGCTTTCTTTTTTATCACACCTCGTGAAGACAGGAAAGAGGGTTTGGAAAACTGTTTCAGAAAGTGTCAAGAGGACAGGGATGAGTGTATTTGAAGTGAAGGCGAACATTCTTCGGGGATTAAATGGCAATGTGTCTTTAACTGTAATAGATGCCTTTAATTGAAAAGTTCACCACTTCTTTCAGTCACACCTGCGTTGTACCGTCTGCCTGAAAGACTTCCCCTAGCGTGACTCCTCTCTCCTACATTCTCACGCTGTCACCTCGTCCTCTGCGGTGATCAGGGCATGGAGTTCTAGTTCAGTTCACTGCTAGTGTGCAGAGCACTGTGCAAAGCACTAGCTGTTTGTTGGCTTCTTTTGTCCTCTGGATGCCTTAGTAAGGGGGTGTAGGCAACCCCAGGCTGCAGAAGGGGAGCTCAAGCTCTGGGAGTTTCTATCACCCCTATAAGATCATGACAGTTACTCAGCCCTGTTGATGGGACAGCCACGTGTCAGATTCACTCCCTCTTAAGACCCGGGGCTGAGTTTGTTTTTATCTAGGAGTTGTTTTGGCTTAACCTCCATTTTTCCATTAATCTCCAAAATCCCCACACGTGGATCAAAATTAAAATTTACCTAGGCCATCTTACCTACTTCATCCTATTGCCAGGCTGCATATCACCTACTGTCCTGATTGTGGATTTGGGAAAGAACTGAGTGTCGCCAGCGTTACCCAGAGGCCGTCAAGTAGGTAGACAGCAGAGAAAGCCAGCGAGGGGGCTGCTGATTGGCTGAGACTATACTGGAAATAAGCCAGCCAGTTCAAACCCGGTGTATCTCCCTGAAGAATGGGAGTAGTAATAATTTCCTTAGCTCGTAAGCATCTTAGAGAGCTGGAAAGCTTATCTGAGGATAATAGACATCTATTCAAAGGGGAAAATATTCTCTATTGGTTTTACACTTGGAAGACAGGACTGGCTGGCAAAATCCTTTGGAGCCAGGATGTTAAAGGTTTTACATGCACCTGCACTGCTGCCTTAAAGCCTGTTGTTCTACTCCATGATGATACAGGTTGTAGAAATGCATATGCCACTCTCTGTGGTTCTCTACAGGAAACATGAGAGGGCCTGTTACATGGACGTGGCCCTTCCTCTCTACGAAAACCTCCACATCGTGGAACAGCCCGTGAACCTGAGTAGCCTTGCACAGAAGTATGCTAAGAAAGCAGCCCAGTTCATCCAACAGGCAAGGTAAGGCGGCCTGACACTTTCCACCCTCTACCTACATTAACCTCAGCCCCTTCAAAAATCAAGGGAGAGTTCGGTTGCTCAACAGAGAAAGATGCACGCGTATTTCCTGTAAGTAAAGCTGGAAACCACCTCCTCCGGTCCTTGGTTAGAAGTTCCCCAGGTATGTCCTGACATCCCCAGGAGCTTCCCATATCCTGCCTTGATTGTGCCCCAGAGTCATAATCATTCTGTCCTCTCCTACGATAATCTGAGCTCCATGAGGGCAGAGCCTGCCCATTGTATGGGGGCATTCAAGGCATTTGTTGAATTCACTAGTTGGCAGGGTGTATTAGCTTCTTACTGCTGCTATAACAAATAATCACTGAGTTCGTGGCTAAAGCAACAGTAATTCATTCTCCTGCAGATCTGGAGGGCAGATGTCCAAACTGAGCCCTAAGAGGCTAGAATCAAGATGTTAGCAGGTTTTTTTTTTCTTTCTGGAGTCAGTGCAGAATTGTTCCTCGCCTTTTCTAGCTTCTGGTGGCTATTGGGATACTTTGGCGTATGGCCACACCAGTCTAACTTCTGCTTCTCGTGTTCCCTTGTCATTTCTATATCTGTAGTAAAATCCTTTTCAGTTGCCAGGGTCTTTGTTGTGTTCTTCCTTCTCCTGCTCCTACTCTTCCTCTTTCTCTTTCCTAGGCTGCGGGCCCCAAACTAGCAGTGCTTCTGCCTCAGCCTCCCGAGACAACTGGGATTAATGGTGCATACTGTAGTGCTTGGCTTTCCTTTGGGTCTTTCTTTTAAGGACATCTGCAATTGTATTTAGGCTTAAGCAAGATACTCTCCTTATCACAGTATCCTTAGCATCATTATACCTGGATAGTTGCATTTGTTGCATAAACAAATATTCCCAGATTCCAGGAATTAGGTATTTCTGAGGGTTGTTATTCAGCCTGCCACCTCTACCACCAACCCCTTTACCATGCAAGGGTTTCACATCGCAGCATCTACAGGGCTGTCTTAGTTACTTTTCTCTCATTGCTGAGACAAAATACCCGACACCCAGAATTAAGGAAGGAAAGGTTTATTTAGCTCACAGTCTGTGGAGGTTTCAGTCCGTACTCAGCTGGCTCCAAGGCAGAGTGGCACATGGCACAGGGTAACTGTTCATGGTGGCAGAAAACAGCAAAAGCAACAAGAACAAAGAGGGAGGAGTGGTAGCAAGCAGCCTCTTTCCTTCCCTTACATTGTGTGCAAACTACCCACCCCAGGGTGAGTGTAGCATTCACACCTCTAATCCCAACATTGGACCATGAATCAATCATAAACTCTAGAAGCCCGCCCATGACTGCATGAGGCTTTGGGGGGACATCCAGACACAAACCATAACAAGGGCTAAATAGATAAACTTAAAGAGAGAAGCAAGCTGAGTGTGAGGCGGTAAGGAGAACTTGTAAGCACGCCCCCATCTGAAACGGAGTAGCTGCTACCTCGCGCCAGCTACTTACATCTTCTTGTTGGGATCGTGATCCTGGGGTGTCAGATATTTCCATGTTCCAAGAGAGACAGGATGCCTGGCTCTTATGTGGGATCTCCTGACCTTTAAATGTTAAGAAACTACTAATTAAAAATAACACAATGCAAAAAACCACATCCATGTCACCACGTGTCTCTAACAAATCCTGCACATGTGAGAGCCGCTGCTTCACGACCTCTGTTAGGCCGGAGCACAGGAGGTGTTCATGCACATGTTCCCTCTCCTGAGATTGTGAGGTACCTGAGGGCACGGAATGGTTTTCGTGAGGTCCACAGCTTGGCCTACATGAGCAAGAACAACTGTGCTGCCCTCCCTGGCTGTCTACTTGTGCAGAATTAGGAATAGACGCCACCTGTGGATAAGTGATCTGATCAGCTCCTCGAATGGCCAAGAATCCCTCTCTCCTTGCTTAACCAAGCTGTGCTTTTGTGGAGAGTCCAACCAGGAAGAAAGGGAGCAGTGTAGGAGACCCATTTAGCATGTGTGCTTGATAATAAAACTCACTACTTACATTCTTAATCCCAGGGGCAGCCCCCAAGGGCTTTCAAGCTTGCATCTGAATGGATCCTTAGGAGTTTTTTTGAGAAGCACTGTGGGTTGATTTTTCTGACTATGGATATAAAAAGAGCAAAGTTTCTTCCTCATCTACTGGGTGGAACATCTCCCAGCTCCGAACTCTGAGTAAGTTTCAGGCCTGTCCCCCATGGCAGGAGGGTGCTTCATGGCTGGAGGGGACAATCCCCTCCTGCTTTATCAGGGCCTCAGACAGCCTGGCTTCTGAGGGGAGGGACTGTGGCTGAGCGGGGACTGGGCCCCTGTGACGCCTGCTTTGCAGGGGATCTGGTATATGGATACCACCAGTTAGTAAATCAGCTGACACAAATCAACTAACATTTCACTTAGCAAATGCAAAAGGCAAAGAGGTAATTGTATTAGTCAAGTGAACTTTCATGGGTCCTGTTGGCTTTTAACTTGACAGAGCGTGGTATTCAGGGTGTCCATCTCTTCCGGAACGGATGACAGTTCACCCCTGACTTTCCCAGCTTCAGCAGAAAAGGCTCCTGGTCTGTGCTCCTTCCTCCCCCAGGCCCTGCTGCAACCTTGAACCCCGAATTCTCTTGGACCTATTTGCCACGACTTCCAGGTCTTCCTGGAGTGCGGCCTCCTGCTCTTTGGCCAGAAAGCCCAACCCAGGACTTCCTGGAGTGTTTTTCATATGGGTCTTTGCTTGAGTTTGGACCTTTAATCTAGCAACAATGCTAGAAGCGAATCCCGATGTGGGGTTTTAAAGCAGTACTGATGGCTTTTGAGCTGAGCGCAAGATTTGCTCAGGTATTTTGGGCAGTGGGAAAGCAGGGATGCTGGAGCGGTGTGCCCAGGAGCCGGAAGGCGGAAGGGGGCAAGGGACCTGGGGAGCTATTAGAAAGGAAGAGTCCTAGAGAAGTAGGAAGGCTGGACTGGAGGAGACCCCAGTGGGGAAGGATGGGGATGCAGGCTGAGGTGTTTGGCCCGACCCTGGGGGCTGCAATGATCCCAGCAGGTCTCTAAAGAAGGAATGGTCACCTTCAGTTTCAGTTCTGGATGCTGAGGTGGGGGAAGCTGTGGCCAAATAACGGTTTCTGCATCAATTCTAGAGACCCCAGGCGGGTCTGACTCTCTCTGGCCAGGCACCCATGCGGGACCCCTCTAAAAACGGGGGGTGCCCCTGGCCTGCACTTCTGAGATGTTTTTCTAGGGAGTGGCTGACGCTGGGCCTGAAACTCCGGCGTCTCTGTCCTTTGCCTCATCTGCTCTGTGCCAGAACATTCCTTCTTGCACTTTACTTGCTTTTTTTCTTCTGCTCACCAAGCTGGTTTTGACACACAAACAGTGTGTCCCCTTTAGAAATTTATGAGGGCAGAGATAAAGAAGCAAACAGTAACAACAACAAAAAACCCCCATCACCCTGAATTCCGCACCTGAAAGATAATTCCTTTTAATATATCTGAAAGTGTTCCTCCCGTCCCATTTTCTGCTGGTGCATAAACATATTCTACCCAACTTTATAAAGGTATAATTGAAGTGGGCATATTTAAAAAAAAAATAAATGAAAGCCAGGCATGGTGATGCACACCTGTAGTCCCAGCACTCAAGAGGCTGAGGCGGGAGGATTCCTGTGAGTTCGAGGCCAGCCTGGGCTACAAAGTGAGTTCAAGCCCAGCCTGAACTGAAAAGCAAGTCTCAAAAAACAAAACACAAAACAAAAATAAGTGGAAGTACACTGTCTTATAATTTTTTTATTTTTTGGTTTTTTTCCGGTACCGGAAATCGAACTCACAACCTTGCGCTTGCCAGGCAGGTGCTGTGCCACTGAGCTAAATCCCCAGCCCCAGTACACTGTGTTATAATCAGCACTTTTCACACTGAAAACACCAGGTCTCCCCAGCTGTGTTTTGCATTCAGCCCAAGCACCCGAAATGAAGATGTGCTTTGGGGCACGTGATGCCCCCAGGGGACTGGCCTGTGCATGGTGTCATCTTTATAAATCCTAGCCTGGCACCAGGATGCAGGGAAGGGTACCAATTATTAAATGCTTACTGCTCTCAACTTTGAGGTAAGATTGTTCCATTTCACAGATGACAGAGGTCAAGTTAATTGCCCAGGGTTACACAGCCATGACATAGAACATCCTGGGATTTGCATGCCAGTCTCCCAAGCCTGTGCTCCTCATCTGTCCCCTCTGCCATCTGTCATGATCACCTGTGTCTTCGAGCCTCTGGCCCAGGCTGCTAACGTGACACTGATGATGGTGGGGCTTTGGAAGACAGGACCCAGGTGGGCATGGGGACCATGTGCAGTGGTGAGCTGGTTAGTGTGTAATGAACAGCTGCCAGAGAAAGCAGCCCCATCTGGAGCATTTGCCAATTTCTGTGGGGTACGTGTTCTCACCGAGCCTGATCTCAAGCAGCCAATGAGATGTCACCGAGTGCAGAGCTGTAGAGACGACCCATAGCATAGCTCTCTCTGGCAGAGCTCAGAAAGTTATATACACAGGAACACGTACAAAGTGTACCATTTTAACAATCTTATTTTTGTTCATTTATTCATTATGTGACACTGAGGACTCAACCTGGGAACCTCACACTGAAGTACGACTCCACGCACGTTTTTATTTTTCATTGTGAGACAGGATCTGGCAAAATCACTGAGTTGCCCAGGCTGGGTGTCTTGGTTACTTTTCTCTCGCTGCTGAGACAAAATACCTGATGCCCAATGTTAAGGAAGGAAAGGTTTATTTAGCTCACAGTTTGTGGAGGTTTCAGTCCATACTTGGCTGGCTCCAAGGCAGAGTGGCACATGGCAGAGGGCAATAGTTCATGGCGGCAGAAGACAGCAAAAGCAACAAGAGCAAAAGGGAGGAGCAGAGGTGGAGAGCAAGCTTCTTTCCCTCCCTTATATTATACACAGGCTGCCTACCCCAGGGCAGGTGTAGTGCTCACACCCATAATCCCAACATTAGACCAGGGATCAATCATACATTCTTGAAGCCCACCCCATGACTGCATGAGGCTTTGAGGGGACACCCAGACACAAACCATAACACTGGGTTCAAATTTGTGATCTTCCTGCTTCAGCTTCCTAGAGCACAGGGAATGTAGTTTGCGCCACCATACCTGGCTGATCTTAACCATTTTGTGGTGCAAAGTTCTGTGGCGTTAAGTACATTCACATCATTGTGCAACCTTCACTTCTGCTTACCTGCAGAACCTTTTCATTTTCCCTGGCTAAAACTCTGTACCCACTAAGTATTAGCTCCATCTTTCTCTTTCCCGGAAGCCCTAGCAAACTACCTTCCTCTCCTCTCCCCTCCTTTTCCCTCCCCTCCCTGTCTTATTTTTCCCTTTCTTTTTATTCATCTTTTCTTTTCTCTTTACACCTTCTCTTCTTCCTTACTTAAAAGTCATCATTCCGTTTCTTTAGAAAGTCGTATGCTCTGCAGTTGTCCAAGCCAGGCAGGGAGGATGAAGGCTCCCCTAGTCTTTGGGCTGGAGGACTATGGTCTCGCTCTGCTACTTTCAATTCTGAATATGATGACCCTGGGGCCTCAAACAAGCAGTCATATTATTTATCATTCAGGGACTGGACTTTGAGTAATGTCCTCAGAGTTTATCTGTGCTCTAGTATGCGAGGCACAGGTGTGAAATTTTAACCTTACTTAATTTTTGTTAATTTAACACAAACAGTACCATGACCCTTTGGTTACTGCCTTGGAGAACACAGCTCTAGAAATGTAGTGTGGAACCTATGGGTTAATGTGGAGAAGTCTAAGGACTCTGTCTTGGATCTGGTGGCCTGTTTTGTTTTGTTTTTTTATTATTGCTGCATATTTGCTATACATGATGATCACATTCATCATGTGGAGTTTGTACCTGTTCATAATGTGTCTTAATTCTTTTTTGCCTATGCTTCCCTCCCGCCCTTCTTCCCCTCCCCATTTACAAGAGTTTTGCTTCCATTTTCCCCTTCATTTCTCTTTTAAAATCCCTTCCCCTTCTTTCCTTCCCCTCCCCCCTTGTTCCCTTTCCCGTTTGAACATGGTCCTCCTGCTTCCCAATACCTGCCCTCCGTTTTGCCCTTTATGTTGGTGCCCTGGGTTTTGTTCCTGTCAGAGAAGCCTGAGGACAAGCACCATCCCAGTGAGTGGCCCCCGGAGCAGGGTGCAAGGGGCTTTCTGGCTTAGCTTGTGGCCGAGCTGAGGCTGCAGGGTGCTGAGGCAGGGTGAGCCCAGGAGAAATCGGAATCTCTGGGTGAGCTGGTGTCATGGGGCTTGGTCGCTCTGCGTATGTACAGGACTGAGCTGACCAGACTCCTTCCCCTTGGTCCTCTAACACCCCTCCCATGGGTATGGCCAGTGGGGAGGGGCATCCGCCTGGGTCCCTGTGATGCTCTCACCTGGCGGTGGCGCCGAGGGATACAGTGCTTTCTGAGGCCACCCCAGCCCCTCTAAGCTTTTCACTTCGCATTTTTCCATGGAATCAAGATTAGCAGAGAGGTGGCCAGATGTCTGGGTCTCTAACAGAGGCTTGGTCTCAGTTTCACCTGGTGGTCATGTGCACCCTTCGGATTTCCTGTGGTCAGCTGGGCCGTTCACTCAGCTCCTAGAACAGACACTAGGGTCTGGATGCCTGGACTCTAGGGCAGCAGCCAAGAACAAGGGCTTTGCTCTTGCCAGATCTGAAGTTAGGTCCAGACTCTGTCACTTCCTGGTTGTATAACATGGAACAAGTCCTTTAGTTCCCTGAAGGTGCTGACTCATTGTCTGAGAAGAGGGAATTTGGGGGTGATTAGGATGGATTTAGGCAACATGAGTCCCCTGGAATAAGCTCCCAGTAAATGTTTAAGGACAGTAACTATTATTACCATATTCTCGTTTTTTAACTGGCTGACCAGATGATTTCCACATTTCCTTAGAAGGTTGTAGGTGAACATATCCTTTCTGAGCCTCTGGGCAGACCCTTTGGGGGCATTTTCCTGAAGTCACAGAGCAGCTCAGAGGCGCTGGACCAGCTGGGTCGGCCTCCTACAGAGTGACCCATTGTTTTTCTCGCTTGTTGCAGTGCCAGCAGAAGACCCTTCCTACTCTACGTGGCCCTGGCCCACATGCACGTCCCCATATCTGCGACCCAGCTATTGGCAAATGCAGGAGGCCAAAGGCCATACCAAGCAGGCCTCCGGGAGATGGACAATCTGGTGGGTCAGATCAAGGACAAAGTTGAACACACAGCAGCAAAAGATCGCACATTCTTCTGGTTTACAGGTAAAGTAGTAAAAGCTACATTTACTAGCTCAACTAATGGATAACCCTACACACGCCCCATGAAGCGCACAGCCGGACCAAGTGACCTTCTGTAGAGAATGGGGGTTGGCTTTGAACTTGGGCTTGAATGCGGAGTATGTGTCGATGGGGTGCTCTGAGGCTGAGTCCCTGGGACAGTTTGTACTGACAGAGTGTGCACATTGCTGGCCCCATGCATGATTCAGGTGCTGTGGATCTTGCTTTTAGTCACTAGGAAATTACTTTGACATTGTGAGTTTGTGTGTTTCTTGTGCAATTCTAGGATTTTATCTTTAGCCTTCCTCGCTGGCCTCAAAGACATCCATCGCCACTGGTCACCAGGTCACACCCTGTGGCTGAGCGGCCCTGGTAGTTGAACAAATGACCCCTTTAAGGGTCCCACACATGTACTACGTGTCTTCAGTCCCTGTCTGGAACAAAGGCAGTGGTTTAAAGCACTGATTTTGAATCAAGTTGAGACCGGGATTTGAATCCATACTCTACTATTGGGAGAGTTACATTAATCCTCTAATTCTCAAAAAGTTGAGCTACTAGTAGAATCTACTCCATAGCATGTTGCAAGAGTATGAGATGCACCAGGTGAATGATAGCTGCTCAATCTTTAGTTGCTGGGCTGATGCTGAGGGCAATGGTAATGGGATTGTTAAAACTATATAAAAAGGTAAAGGGATATAAGGGCAGAGGCCCAGGATGGGGCCAGTTGGAGAGAGGGATGGGACCCCCTCCCCTTCCTTCCCCTCCCCTCCTCTCTCCTCTCCTCTCCTACCCTCTCTTCCCCTCCTCCGAGAGCCTGGTAGATTGAGGCTCATGTCAAGGGAACTTCACAGCTAGGACTCTTCGATATCATTCCCTGTTGACCGGGGATACAGGGCCAGAAGGGGGAGTTGGTGAAAGAATCCCCCAGCCTGGTGACAATTACATGCTGTTCTTTTCTGATTTCCAGGAGACAATGGCCCGTGGTCTCAGAAGTGTGAGCTGGCAGGCAGCACGGGTCCTTTCGGCGGATTGTGGCAGACCCGTCAAGGTAGAGGCCTCGCTTGGGGCTGACGATCCCACCTTCAGGACCTGAGCCCTGGCTGGCTCATGGGATTTGCCACCAAGAGGGAGAACGCATATCCGAACCTTTAGGGCGTCAGTGTGAGACAGCACGTGGTGGCTCTCTTGGGGAAGAACGAATGAGTCAAGAGGGAAGGAAGGGAGGCCATGTCTTCTGCCCTTTGCTCTGAGGACTCACCTAGAGGACTGCCCTTCACCCCAACAAGCTGACCCGCTAACCTTCCAGTGAATGTGCTTCACTATTTTTATCCTGCTACCCTTGCTGTCTGCCTCCTCTCCTCTCTCCTCTCGTCTCTTCTCCTCTCCTCTGCTCTCCTCCCCTCCCCTTTTCCCCTCCCCTCCCCTCCCCTCCCTTCCCCTCCTCTCTCCCTCCCCTCCTCTCTCCCTCTTCTCTCCCTTCTCTCCTCTCCTGCTTAGTCCTTTCCCTTCTGTCTTGTCCTGCTCTGCCCTTCCCTTCCCTTCCTCTCCCTTTCCTTCCCTTTTTCTTTCACCATTCCTCCATCCTTCCAATTACCAAATCATTTCATTTGTTCAAGAATATTTAGTATACAACTGTGCAAGGTTTTTATTCACATGATCTAAACCCTACAACAGTGAAAGGTAGGTAATAGTAGCTCCATTGCAGATGGAGGAAGAAAAGGGCTCAGAGAAGCAAACTGCTAGTGTCACACAGCTTTTGAGGCAGAGCCAGGCTACTGCAGTGAAAGCTGCTTTGCTCCCCACTAGATCACAACCCCCGACAGCTGCCTGGGGCTCTATTTCAACCTTCTTCAGCCTTCTGGCAGCTCCCGTGTGCTCTGGGAAAGTTCCCCAGAAGGACATCACTTTCTGGGAGGGCAGCCATGCTGGGGCCAATATGGCATATGACCCGCAGGCTTGGGAAAGGTGCATACCTCTCAATGAACCCATTTCTCCTCTAAGCACTTGTCTTACACTGAGGAAGTAATGAGCCCAGTGTATAATGATGTATATAAATGAATGCTCATTGCACTAGACTGTTGTTTTTCATTTTTAAAAAATAGTTGGGCCAAGAATCTAGAAAGAGGGGAGTGCTAAAAGAAATTATAACACACCCATATAAAGGAATACCGAAGAATCAATAAATGCTGTACACTTACTACCTTGGAAACACTTATGTTAAATACTTTTCAATGAATGAAGCAAGTTACAAAATAGTATGTGAGGCATAATTTTATTGCATAAAAGCCAGGTTATATAGTCTCAGAAAAATCTTGAATAAGGTAACAAAATGTACAAAATATTAGCAGCAATTACCTCTGGGGGAGCATAGAGGGATTACATGCAATTTTTTCTCATACAGCAGGTATTGTTTCATAAAAAATTAAAATGGGGACCGGGGATGTGGCTCGCTGGTAGAATGCTTGGCTCTCACGTGCAATACCCTGGGTTAAATCCTAACACTGAAAAAATAAAGAGCTGGGCATGGTGATGCACTCCTGTAATACCAGCTCTCTAGAGGCTGAGGCAGGAGGATCACCATGAGTTTGAGGCTAACCTGGGCTACATAGTGAATTTAAGATCAGCCTGAATTACAGAGTGAGACCTTGTCTTGAAAAAAATAATTTTTTTTTAGAGAGTGCTTTTTTCCAAAGGGTTCAGAGACAGACCTAACATGATTGCCCTCACCAAAACGTGTCTGTTTTAAATGTGGGGCTAGGTTCCCTCTGCCACCAAGCTTACTGTTGAGGGATAGCCCCCAGCTGTACTCAGGTGGGAAGAGACATTGCCTTTTTATTATTAGTCTGACTATTTGTAATTACAAAGGAAACAGAAGCTTTTGTGCCCCAGTAGGAAAAGCCGATCATTTTTTAAAACTTCAGTCTGGTATCCCTTGGATAAGATCTCTTGGGGACTTTACAAGTGAGAAGCTGTCAGACTGTAGCCATGTCTTGTGTCTGGAAATTTGAGTCATGGGTCAGGAGAGCTGAACCCTATGTAGTTCAGGTTAGCCTCAAACTCATGGCGATCCTCCTGCCTCAACCTCTAGAATGCTGATATTACAGGCGTGCATCACCACACCCAGCTCTTTATTTTTTCAGTGTTAGGATTGAAGCCAGGGTATTACACATGCTAGCCAAGCATTCTACCAGTGAGCCACATCCCTGGTTCCCATTTTTTACCTGCTGGGACACTGGATCGCTATTTCTTGGGGACTGGTGTTTGTCTACCTATATTGATTCCTGTGTTTTCTTCAAATTCAAGAATGCTATGTCCAACTTAGGATCAGTGTCTAGTTCTGATGCCTAGAGACCTGGCTCAGGAGAAGATGCTGGGAGGATGGAGGTGAATGGAGATGTGACTGATGATTGGAAGGAGGCATAGCTGGGAAGAATGCATTGTAGCGGGGAGTGGTATCACCACTGTTCAACTGGATACTCAAGCACATTTCCTGAAATGATACTTAATTCTCAAATAAGCACAAAGTCATAAATCAACCTAACATGATACAACTGTCTTGCATACCACTGAAAACACAATAATTCTTTCACCAAAGTTGAAACAGTTTCAGCCATTTTAAAAAATCCAAGTCTTTTCTGAGACTCAAGGCAAACACTGTGAATCCTTATAAAGGAAAAAAACAAGCTGTACAATCCCATGGTAAGATGGCACAAGGTAAACAGTCCCACTCCAAAAGTGAGGTTAGGGGATAGAAAAGAACTGAACCAAAGAAAGACTAAAGGCCAGCAGGGTAGATACTAAGTGCTTTAGCTCCATGTCTGGTGTCTGGGGCACATGGTGGTGATATGTGAGTTTCAGAGAGCTTGGGTGGCTTACATGACCTATCTTGGGCTGGCTCCATTCAGAGCCTATAGATTTCTTCAGCAGTCATTCCACATTTGTGGCATTTCCAAAGACCTAGGATCTTTATGTATCTGTTAGGGTTTGTGTCTAGATGTCCCCTCCAGGCCTTATGTGATCATAGGTGAGGATTTTTCAGAGGTGGCTAAATCTAGAGTGTGTGATGCTGGGATTGAGGGTGTGTGATTATGTGATTACTAAATCAGTTCATTGATTAGTCTGGTGCCACCCTAATCCCCATAGCCTAGATAAAGAATAAAAGGGGCAGAAAAAAGCTGCTAAGGTCCCTTCCTTGCTTTGCTACCTTCTGTCTACCATGAACTGTTTCTCCTCTGAGATGCTTGTCTGCCGTGCCACTCTGCCTTGGAGCCAGCTGACTCTGGACTGAAACCTCTACAAACTGTGAGCCAAATACACCTTTCCTCCCTTAGCTTCGAGTGTCTGGTATTTTGTCTCAGCAACAAGAAAAGTAACTATGAAAGTTCCTATGACTTCATTACCGCAGCTTCATGCACTGCCCTGTTAACATTCCTTTCCTGGCCTCCCAGTTCTTCCTTTGAAATCTACGTGGAAGCCCACCCTCCAGAACCCACAGCTTTGTATTCTTCATGCCGGTAAAACTAGCATCACATAAATGGTGCCAAGGTCTGCTGTCGGTGGGAGCAGTGGCAAGGCCTCCTTGGACCATGACTACAGTGGCCGCTGAGCGCCTAGGTTGCTGAGTATGGTGAAATTAACTCTGGGGACACAGTTCCCTAGGAGATCCTTTTGAGCAGGGGTCCCAAGGACTCTGTTCTCAGGTGAAAGTTTTATACTTTCACACCCTTGAGCTTGTAATAGGTGGAGAATTGCTGATTTCTCAGATGCAATCAAGGCATCTTTCTTCTTGTTCCTATAGAGAGTACTTTGTTTCTTTTTAATGAGGCTAATGTCTTCGGCAATCACTGGCTTCAACTTTACATGTGGTTGCTTTTGGACTAACATTTAAACTTTTCAAATTTTTCTATTCTTATTTTTGCCCCTAATTCTTACTATACATCTGGCTAAAAGCAGCCAGAAGTACCCATGCCATAGCCTGAATATTGGGCTGTTTTGAAATTTCATCTGCCCAGTCAGTTAGCCCACTGTACTTGATTTCAGGCTCCCACAAAATCTCAGGACAAGAGCAAAATGAAGACAAGTTTTCTGCCACAGTATAACACACTAGCCTCTGGTCCAATTTCTGGTCCAATCTCTGGTTCAAAACCTCCTGAGCCTGGCCTGTGCTGTCTCATTTCTACCTGCATTCTGCTCTGCAAAGCTCTGACCGTAATCACCCATAAGGATCGGTTCACTGCACTCTAAATCTTCTCTGGCCCACATCTCCAAATCTTTCCAAACTTTTGTAAATTGTGAATCTGAACTTCCAAACATCTCTAAACTACATGGTCAAGGACAATCACAGAAAAGACCCAATTCTAAACCAATTTTCTGTATTTGTCAGCTTTCCCATTGTTAGGGCACAATACTTAGTAACTTAAAGGAAGTGAGGCTTGTTTGGCTTGTGGTTTCAGGGGAGTCAGTCCAAGGCAGAAGCATCATGGTAGAACAATGCTTAGTTTATGGTGGCTAGGTAGCAGTGCCTGGGAGCAGCACCAGAGAAGAAGCGGTCACGGGACCAGAGATAGTACCTGAGGTTACTCTTCCATGATCCCCATCAGGCATACCCAGAGGTGCTCTGTCAATGCCCTGGGTGTCTCCCAAGGCATTCTAGTTGACAGAGTCAAGCTTAACCATTGCATCTTCCTACTAGTTGAACACTGTGTACCAGCAAATATGCTCAGTGTTGGAGATACAAAGATTAGTGAAGCCCGTGACCTAAAGGAATGATTGTCTATAAAGTATTTCTCAGATGTTTATGTACAGATAGTCCCCTGGGGATCCTACCAAAATGCAGTTATGACCCAAGGTTAGCATTGGAAATTCTGCATTTCTGTGATGCTTCTAAGTCAGTGGTGGTGAGTCAATGGCATGTGTAGGGCAACAGGCTGTGGTTATCATTGAAAGCTCTAAAAGGTTGGCCATCACTATTCTAGGTGAAGTCGATGTGGCTGGTCTAGAGACCATATTTTGAGAATCACCAGTCTATACCATCATGTCTGTACTATA